TGCAGGGATGCCTGTATGTTTCTCTCTTCTGTGAGTGAAGCTCTAGTTCTGGGGAACGACTTCACACATCCGATCACCCTTAACCAGCCATAGCCAGGCCCGTCGCCAGTATTTTGTGGCTTGGGGGGCACATTTTTTTCTGGTGGGGCTGAAGTTCTCAGTGCAAAAAGAAAAGCGGTCAGCCACTTTAGATGACAGCCCTCAGCTGCTGCAAGTTAATCACTTCTGCCAGTCAACCAACAATCCTGATAACAAGCCGGCAGGTGGGCGTGATGACTTTTATAGTCAAGAAAGCTAACATTTGGGCACTAAGGAGAGAAGGCAGAGTGTGGGACCCGGGCTGTTGAGTGTGTGTGAAAAATCCGCACAGGTGCACCCCTGTTCCTTCCTGCATGCCTGGCATTCCAGCTGCAAAGTATTACGGCCAAACCCCAGCCAGTTAAATTCCAAGTTTTAGATCGAGAAATTTAAGAGCAGATCCGGAGGGGTGTGCAATTTTTTTTTTTAATCAGTATTTTTTGGTTCGGGTCTATTGGACCTGGAAAACATCAGGATTTCTGGGAAATCCTGGATCCCAATACCAGTATTATATTCGGATCTGGTTTATTTCCGGCAATCCCGAATTTCTTCAGGGGCGTCTGTAATGATTCCTTGTTTTGTTTTAAATCTTTTTAATTTCTTTTTTAACCAGCGTAGGTAAAAGGTAAAGGTTCCCTGGCTCGAAAGCCAGTCAAATCTGACTCTAGGGTTGCGGTGCTCATCTCCGTTTCAAAGCCGAAGAGCCAGCGCCAAAGACATTGGTCATGTGGCCGGCATGACTAAACACCAAGGCGCACAGAACGCTGTTACCTTCCCACTGAAGGAGTACCTATTTATCTACTTGCAATTTCCTCCGTTCGAACCGCCAGGTTGGCAGGAGCTGGAATGAGAGGCGGGAGCTCCCTCCGTCATGCGGCACACCCGGGTCTCGAACTGCTGAACTACCGACCTTCCACAGTCTGCAGTTCAGCGTCTTAACCACTTGAGCCACCACAGCATTTAACCAGCGTACAATATGTTAAATAATACACAGTACATCCACACTTAGAAACATAACACAGAGTTTTATACCTGGGGATCCTTACACCTATGGCCTAATACGAGTATTGTTGCCTCAGAGGTTTCTATAAGGATGTCCTCTTGGGTGTAAAACTACAGTGGTGCGGTTAGAGATAGCTTGTATTGAGTGTTATTTGGAGAAATGGCGCCATCAAGTCTAGTTGAGAGAGTAATGAACCTAGAGGATTAGCCATTTAAGGTACAGAGGGTTTGAGGGAAGAATGTCTAGAGACCAGAGGTCGATTCGGGGGGGATCGCGGGGGATCGCAGATTTGGCGGGTGATGTGCTGGGGAGTTCAAATAGCACCTTTAAGACTAACCTTTAAGACTAAGACTAACTGAGTGGTGGGTGTGGCCTTATGACACACTTCCGGTGATTTCAGGGGGTGTGGCATATGCTAATGAGTTATGCTAATGAGTTCCTCTAGCTCTTTTTCTACGAAACGACCCCTGCTAGAGACCAATGTTCCCTCTAAGTTGTGGAGTCTTGTGAGCAAAAATTCTACTTTGTGAGTTACTGGCATTAAAGTTGTGAGCGAGCGATTTGGCTACCGCCTAGATTAGCTTGCTCTCGAGCCATCCTTCCTGAGCGAAGCCAAAAATGTGTGAGCTGGAGGCTAAAAAAACTGTGAGCTGGCTCGCACTAACTCAGCTTAGAGGGAACACCGCTAGCGACTGCAGGTAGGAAACAACTGGGTACCAAGTTGACACAGATTTGGAGAGGTGTGGGGTGGCTGTCTGTGGTCTGTTCAGGGAGTCAGTGATCTTTGCCATGACGATGGGCTCACATTTGCTGTTGTTCAGTCGCACAGTCGAGTCCGACTCTTCGCGACCCCATGGACCAGATCACGCCAGGCCTTCCGGTCTTCCGCCGTCTTCCGTCCTATTGGGTTCTGTTATTAGAGAGTCAACAGGGAATGTTTCCTTCAAGAATTTGTTGCTGTTGTTCGGTCGCACAGTCGAGTCCGACTCTTCGCGACCCCATGGACAAGATCACGCCAGGCCCTCCTGTCTTCTGCCGTCCTCTGAAGTTGGCTCAATTTCATGTTCGTTGCATCTGTGACACTGTCTAACCATCTCATCCTTTGCCGTCCCCGTCTTCTTTGACCTTCAGTCTTTCCCAGCATCAGGGTCTTCTCCAGTGAGTGCTCCCTTCTCATTGGGTAGCCAAAGTATTTGAGCTTCAGATTCATTATCTGGCCTTCCAGGGAACAGTCAGGGTTGATTTCTTTTAGGATTGACTGATTCGATCTTCTTGCAGTCCGAGGGACTCTCAATAGCTACTCCTTGTTTTCATGTGTGTGTGTTCCTTTAAATGTTAGTTTGACAGCAGTAATGCAAGGAGGGCGATCCGGGGAGATGTGTGTGCTGTGACTGGCTGATGACTGAGTGTGGGAGGAGATGTTCCGAGAGGAATCTGTGTGTTTGTGAGTTTTATGACAGAGTTTAGAGTGTGTGTGTCTCTGTGGAGAGTGAAGTGTGAAAAGCTCTAAGGAGAGTCTGTGCAGAACTCTAAAAGTCTTGTGAGAGAGTCTGTCTGAAAAAGAAACAAGCTGTGTCTAAACCGTGTGGTTAGATCGATGTTTTATCTTATGTGGAAAAGTCAAAGAGTTTAGTTGGGTTGGCTACACATATGATGGAGCTGCGGTGGCACAAGTGGTTAAGACGCTGAACTGCAGGCTGTGGAAGGTCGGTAGTTCAGCAGTTCGAAACCCGAGTGTGCCGCATGACGGAGTGAGCTCCCGTCTCTAGTTCCAGCTCCTGCCAACCTAGCCGTTCGAAAGCAAGAAATTGCAAGTATATAAATAGGTACCACTTCGGAGGGGAAGGGAACACTGTTCCGTGCACCTTGGTGTTTAGTCATGCCGGCCACATGACCACGGAAACGTCTTCGGACAGCGCTGGCTCTTCGGCTTAGAAACGGAGATGAGCACCGCAACCCTAGAGTCGGATTCGACTGGCTTTCGAGCAAGGGAACCTTTACCTTTTACTACATATATGAGAGAGAGAGAAGAAGCCTGTCAGAGTGGAATTTCACTGTCTGAGAGACTGTGTGTGACACCAAGCTTGCTAGTTATATTTTACAAGTTCCTTTTTCCAGAAACCTATTTTGCTCTTATTTCAATAAATCCACAAAGTAACGTAAAGAAAGTCACCATGTCGCTTCCACTGTATTATAAGGGGCACTCGCCCTTCCCCACGTTCCCTGATGGGGTGAACTTACCCCCTCGCCTGCTGTTTCACAAAGGTACTGGACGACGGGAGCCCCCTGCTCAGAAATGATGGTCCCGTGACATTCCTTCACCACCTGCAAGAGAGGAGGCAAAGATGGCCGTTCAGGGGGAGGAAAGCATAAGGGAAATGTCGAACCGGAAGAAGCTGCATTGGAAGGTGGACTTTATGGTAACACGCCCTGCCCCCCCATCTGTTGGAAGGGGTGTGGGCAAGTTGGTTCTTATTTGCACCTATGGTGGGCTTGCCCATTCATTAATCAGTTTTGGTCTCAAATACTTAATGAAACTAAAAATATTACCTCTCTTACAATCCCGTTCTCACCAATTATTATTTTGTCAGATTTATGGGAAAACACTCAAACCCCGAAACATCTTCGAGAACTAATATCCACGTTATTGTCAGCAGCAAAAACAACTCTCGCCTCTAAATGGAAATTGCCTGCGCTTCCCACATTACAGGATTGGTACAATAAATCCTGGGAATTCTTTATTTTTGATAAGATAACTGTTGAATTAGATCACCCGGACGCAGAACGACAAAAAATTTTCTTTGCCAAGAAATGGTCAGCCTTTGTTCTTAAAGTTGTGGGTCATACGAATTTCTCTTCAATTGATATAGTTTCCAAACCTGAAGTCTCTTTGTTGGTCACCGGCTAACCCCTGACGAGTTTGTTTGATAGTACTTCGTCTGCTATATTGTACTATCAGTATCTTTGACAGTTATCGTTCCAAATTTTATATGTAATCCTTATATATATTAGATGTTTATACTTATGTTTATGCTTCTGTTTATATTCAATGTAACTCTTTGACAGTTTCCTCAATAAAGTTTATTTAAATTAAAAAAACAACAACCACACCCTGCCAACGTCCTCCTCCTCCTCATACCGGACCTGACCCAAGCTCCACCCCTTAAATCTCCAGGGTTTTTCCCAACCCAGAGCTGGAAACCCTATTATTTGGATTTTTTACGGATTGGTTTTTTTCATATTTTGTAATATGACTTAAATTTCAGTGAGAAGAGTAGGCTTGAAGACTGGGTTTCCAGCTCTGGGAGGGGAGCCACCTAGAGATTTGGGGAGGTTGGAGCTTGGGGTGGGTGGCGTTTGGGGGAAGGGAGAGACCTCAATGGAGTAGAATGCCATGGAGACCACCCTCCAAAGCAGCCATTTTCTTCAGGGGAGCGGATCTCTCTTGCCTGAAAATCAATTGTAATAGCAGGAGACCCCCAGGCCCCACCTGGAAGTTCAACAAACACACAGGAAACACGGCAAAGTTAGACAAACGTAAAGAAACCCTGGAGAAGCCTTCTATAGAACTGTTGACTTGTGGACTGTAGCACTGTGAGCTTCGGTTCCAGGAAAAATATGTCTGCCTGAAGAAGAATCTGTCGAAACACGCAATTTTTGCCTGGGAGGCGTGTTGCTTCCTTTGATGCTTGCTGAGTCACTTTTTGTGGCGAACATAACAGCCTGCTGCGTCTCTCGTCATTTATGACTTTTGCAACCTTCATCAGTCTCTTATCAGGAGCAAGATAGTCTACAGCATTCGAATAGGTCTCTACAGTAGCTGTGGACTTTTCTATAGATATATATGTTCATCATTATATCTATCTATCTATCATCTATCTATCTATCTATCTTCTATCTATCTATCTTCTATCTATCTATCTATCTATCTATCATCTATCTATCTATCTAATCATGGCATCAGGCCCCATCACTCCCTTGCAAATAGAAGGGAAGTTGTGGAAGTAGTGACAGACTTCACGTTCCTGGGATCCTAGATCACCGCAGACTGTGACAGCAGCCATGAAATTAAAAGACGCCTGCTCCTTGGGAGGAAAGCGATGGCGAACCTAAACAGCATGATAAAAAGTACAGACATCCCCCTGCCAACAAAAGTCCGCATGGTCAAAGCAATGGTATTCCCAGTAGTCATGTATGGCTGCGAGAGTCGGACTATAAGGAAGGCCGAGCGCCGAAGAATAGATTCTTTTGAACTATGGTGCTGGAGAAGACTCTTGAGTCCCTTGGACTGCAAGAAGATCAAATCAGTCAATCCTAAAGGAAATCAACCCTGACTGTTCCCTGGAAGGCCAGATAATGAAACTGAAGCTCAAATACTTTGGCCACCGAATGAGAAGGGAGCACTCACTGGAGAAGACCCTGATGCTGGGAAAGATTGAAGGTCAAAGAAGACGGGGACGGCCAAGGATGAGATGGTTAGACAGTGTCATAGATGCAACGGACATGAAATTGAGCCAACTTCAGAGGACGGCGGAAGACCGGAAGGCCTGGCGGGATCTGGTCCATGGGGTCGTAAAGAGTCGGACTCGACTGTGCGACTGAACAACAAAAAGGTTTTTGTATTATAATGAATTCGTGTTAGACACACGAGGGTCTCTATTGTACTTAAATCAATATATGAAGACACAAGTGCATATTAGTAGTATGTGTTTTGTTCCAACACGGTGTTTCTTTACGTTTGCCCATCTGGAGGTTGGGAAGCCTAGATATAAATTAAGTTGGTAGTGGCAATATTAATTATACAGCACATGGCTGGTGGGCCCTCACTGTTTCAGCAGAGGAACGTTGGCCCAGTTCAGAATCGGCACAAAACAAAGGTTATGAGAACCAGTTCTGACAGAATCAGGGAAAGTTCGGGGGGAAACATTGCCAGGTCCTGTTCAACGTCTTCGTGGTCAGTGCCCCATAGGTCAGAACTCCCTGTTGTACCACTGCTTTGCTGTCCTTAATGCTGCCCAGGTTATGCCACGTAAAGCAAACGCCCTCTGACTATGGGTTGGGTGGGAAGAGAGGAAGGGAACTCACCCCATCGCCCTTGAAATCACACCTGTCCAGGTTCAGGTCCGAGGGGGGGCATGTGGTCTCCTGCACGGTGAACTCCAGCTTCTGGAGGGACTGGATCGAGGGGTCCTAGGAAGAGAAAAGTGCAAAGAGGAACCTACCGGTTAATGCTGCACAGTTGTCCGAATCCCCACACGTTCAATTGAATACACGTTTGTAGTAAAGTAGTATTTATTGAAGCTATGGAAAAGCTGGAACACAGGAACTGTTTGGAATGACCAAGAGGGTCAGGACACGGGATAATAAACAGATTCATACAGACAATAACCAATGACATTGGTTCCCGCTTCCACGGGTACGTTGAAACTCGCGCCTAAAGCCTGAGAATCAACTGCTCCTGAAAGTTAAACAATTAATTGCTTCTCATGCTCTAATCAAGCGGCTCTGGCTCCGCACCTGTGACCTTGCAGATAACTACGTTTCAAGCAACACTAGCGTTCATAGAAAGGAATGCATATAACAAGCTGCTGTCTTCATACTATTATCAAGCATGCGCAATAGGGTCTAAGCAGACCAGGGAGTGAAGGGGAGGGCTCCGTGGCCCAGACAAGTCATACAGAAAATACATGGAACTAATTGGCAGCTTGCTGACAACAGTTTTGCCCAGTCATAGAAGCAGGATACGGGAGTGCATGCAATAAATCTCCTCCCAAGGTAAACTTGCACGTATTCAAGCTGATCCAGTTCAGGTTGCAGTCAAAAGGAGAGAGAGCAGCCTAATCGAAAGAGAACTTTCCCTCTCACAAATGGCCAGCTTGTCTGGCATCACATGTGTGTGGGAGTTACGAGGACCTTGCATCTCTTTGTATCTATCCACTGGGGAGAAATGCAGAGACCTATGTCTCCATGGAAGGCCATGTGCAACGAGGGAGAGGACAAAGGGAGGGAGGGAGAGAGAGAGAGAGGACCACAAAGTATAGATAGGGACTCTGGGGCAAGTGATGCCCTGTCATCTTGGTGCTTGGGGGGGTCAACAGTGGGATGGCTGGTGGACCTCCTGATGCCCCCTGGTATTTCTGGCCACTGTGTGATACAGAGTGTTGGACTGAAGGGGCCTTTGGCCTGATCCAACACTGGCATCTCTTATGTTCTTATGGATATATATCTGGAGCAGAGGTCCACCAGTGGCTATTAGCCACAAGGTATAGATAGGAACTCTAGGTCTGGGGCAAGGGATGCTCTGTCTTCTTGGTGCTTGGGGGGGGTCAACAGTGGGAGGGCTTCTAATGTCCTGGCCCCACTGCTGGACCTCCTGATGGCCCCTGGTATTTCTGGCCACTGTGTGATACAGAGTGTTGGACTGGATGGGCCTTTGGCCTGATCCAACATTGGCATCTCTTATGTTCTTATGTTCTTAGGACGGGTCAGAGGGCAGCTCCCAGGTGAAGACAAAGGTCGAATCTGCATTTGCATTTTTAAATCAGTTTCGTGCTGCTGTGACACTGTCATTCTCTATGCTTGTTTGAACGTTGTTTGGAGAAGATTCTTTTAAAGCAGTGGGGAGGCGCAATGACAGTGGAGTCGCAAGGAGAAGGTGATAAACATATGTGGACGTGCAAAAGTATGCTAGCACTGTTGAGGTGTGAAAACAAAATCAAATGTAGCCAGCTTTTTTGAAGATGGAGTCAGAAGGCTGGGACACCGGTGGGAAAGACAAATGCAGATTCGACCAAATAGAGGCATCCCATTTAAGGAGAGAACATCTCCCCCCCCCAATGTCCAGGCACACTGAGTCGCTCACTCCAACAATACCAAATAAATGTCCTGCCCAGGGGTCATTTCGTAGAAAAAGTGGTGCAGGCTCATTAGCATAACTCATTAGCATGACTCATTAGCATAACTTATTTGCAAATGCCACACACCCTGACATCACCGGAAGTGTGCCAGAAGGCAACACCCAAAGGCAACACCCAAAGGAGTCTCAGAGCGGCTTACAAACTCCTTTCCCTTCACCTCCCCACAACAGACACCCTGGGAGGTATGCGGGGCTGAGAGAGCTCTGACAGGAACGGCTCTTTTTCAAGAACAGCTCTGACAGAACTACGGCTTGCCCAAGGTCATCCAGCCAGGTGCAAGTGGAGGAGTGGGGAATCAAACCCGGTTCTCCCAGGTTAGAGTCCACACACTTAACCACTACACCAAACTGGAGAGAAAGAAAAAGAAGGAAAGAAATAGAAGGAAAGAAGGCGGGAAAGAGGGAAAGAAAGAAGGAAAAAAGGAGGGAAAGAAAGAAAGAAAAAGAAGGAAAGAAATAGAGGGAAAGAAAGAGGGAGAGGAGCAGGGGGCGGGGCTTGTTGCCTGTGCCCGCCCCCTGGGCTCTTTACTGCCGGAGCTCCGCTCTTGTGCACTCCTGCAGGAAACGACCCCTGATCCTGCCCTGCATGTTCCAAAGGTCTTTTAGAGTATCTGGTCACCGAAAGATTTTCACAGCCAGGCCACAGAAGCCAGAAGGTCTTCCCTTAATGTTTGTCTCCCAGCACTGGCAGAATTCAGATGTTTCCTGCCTCTGCTAAGGAAGACTTCCTTCAGTCACCATGGCATCGATGGACCTCTCCATTACTTCCTTATTCAACAGTTAATTACTCACTGAGGAAAGAAGTACTTCGTTTTGTCCATCCTGAAACTATTGCTCATCAGCCTCATTGGGTGCCTCCAAGTTCTAGTACTGTGGGAGATAGAGAGAAAAGTCTCTCTATCCACTTTTTCCACTTCATGCCTAACTTTATAATCCTCTGTCATGTCCCCCCTCAGTTGTTTCTTTTCTAAATTGAAAAGTCCCAGACTCCTCTGCCTTTCTTCATAGCGGAGGTGCTCCAACCCCCTCATCATCTTGGTTGACCTCCTCTGTACTTTCCCCAGCTCTGCAATGTCCTTTTAGAGAGATGGTGACCAGGACTGTACACAGCAGGGGTCATTTGGTAGGAAAAGAGGTGCAGGAGCTCATTAGGATAACTCAGCATAACTTATTTGCATATGCCACGCCCCCTGACATCACCGGAAGTGTGTCAGAAGGCAACACCCACCGCTCAGGCCCCACTGGACTGTTTTGGATTGCTAGCTATTGGGGCGGGGGGACGTGCAGATCTGTCCTCGTAGAGGAGGGAGAGCTTGTACCTGAATAAAACCTGGCCTTAAAGGTGCCACTGGACTGCTTTGGATTGCTAGCTATGTGTGGGGGGGGGAGAATGCGCAGATCTGCCCTCACACAGATCTGTGCAAAAAGAGAGAGAGAGAGAGGGAAAGAAGGAGGGAAAGA